AGATCCTGTGAACTTGGCTTCTTGCTTGTGAAAAAAGCTTTAGTCTCCTAGGCCTTTCCGAGTTCTAAAGAAAAGACTCTAGCAGTTAATGTTTCGAAAAATGGAAAATCAGTCAAGCAAGAAAAGTAATAATAAACAATAGGTCAGCCATAAAAAGAGTTACAGGATTCCTATCTTCTCCTTGAGGGATATAGGTAACCTTCTGATGCACATTCTTTTTTTTTTTTGATGGTTGTACAACATTATGATTGTATTTATACCCTTGAACTGTACACTTAAAAGTGGTTAAGATGAAAATTTTTGTTACGTGTATTTTACCACAAATAAAATTGGGGGGAAAAGTACCTAAGGTGATTGATAACCTTTGACTCCAGCTAACAAAACATTGCCCTCATCCACTGCTGATGCACATTCTTAAATTGTTTTCACAGAAACCAGGACCCCCACCAGATGGAAACTGCTGACTGCAAATGCTAGACCATAGACTGGCTGGAGCCAGAGATTCGATGATTGAGATTCCTGAAACTTCACCCAGTTACCTCACCACTAACCAATCAGAAGAATGTCCAGGAGCTGATCACACACCCTGGGACCCTCACCCTTAATGTTGCACTGAAAGCCATTGGGGAATATGAGTCTTTTGAACACTAGCTCCCCATCCTCTTTGTTTGTCACCCTGCAATAAACGCTGTACTTTCCTTCACCACAACCCAGCATCAGTAGATTAGCATTCCGCAATATTGGCAGAATCGAGCAGTTGCAAAAAGAGACCATATGGCTCTCAAAGTCTGAAATATTATTTGGCCAGGCAAAACTATAAAAAAAAAAAAGATAACTAAGTGAAAAAATATATAATCTGGGCCTTTACAGAAAAAGTTTGTGGTGTACTGATCTAATCCATAATTGCCAACCTGCAGTTCCCCCAGCCTCACCACACTCCTGCTCCAGGGCAAAAGTCAGGAAGGAGCAAACTTAGGATGCATTTCCTGCTTATGAGCACCAGTCCTGGTCCTATTTTAGAAAGCTGTATTATCCTGCCAGCTTCAAAAACTAAGAAGAAATTCCCCCAATATGCATCCTGAACAAAGATCCCAAAACAGGAGAGAGGGAGGTGCTCTGCTTTCCACATTTCACAATGAAGGAGCTGTGGCATCACAGTTCTCCACCCACAGCATCCTGTGTCTCCCCTTTTGAGCTTCTATTTCCTCTGATGGAAAAACGCTTCCTTCCCTCTTTGCTGGGCTAACCATTTCAAGAATCAGTTCAGACATGACTGATGCCTTCCTTCATCTCTCACAGATCCTCTCCTTAGAGGTTCCTGGTTCCTTCAAGCTCTCATTACATCCTGGCTTGACCTCTAACATGGTCCCTACCGTATGACATTCAAATTATTAGTAGATGAGTTTCCCTAACATGACCATGAGCTCTTCAAGGACAGGGCAGGGCCCAAGGGCAAGGACCATGTCTCAGTCATTTTTGAATTCACAGCATGCATGGCAGTGCTGAGCACACAGTGGGCACTCAGTATATACCACTTATTGAATGGCACTGAACACTGGTGGATTAGTCAGCTCAGGCTGCCATAACAAAATACCACAGACTGGCTGCTGGCTGCTGTGTGGTTTAAACAATGGAAATTTATTTTCTGGAGGCTAGAAATCCAAGATCGAGGTGCCAACAAGGTTGGTTTCTACTGAGGCCTCTCTCCTTGGCTTGCAGATGGCTACCTTCTGGCTGTGTCTTCACATGGCCTTTTCCTCTGGGCTCTCATGGAGAGACAGATCTGGTATATCATCCACTTTCTTTTTCCCCACATCTCTTTAGCATATACTAAATTCTCACAAATATTTATTTCTATCTCTGAGCTCCCTAGTCTGATGCATAAATTTGTCCATTTAATGTACCGCACTGTTTGAATTATTGTAGTTTTATATTAGCTTTTAATATCTAGTAGAGTTAGTCCCACCTCACTGCCTTCTTCAGAAATTTCCTGGCTGTCCAAGCTTGTTCATTTTTCATGTGAACTTTAAAACCAGCTTATTCCATATCCTCTTCCACCAAATCTTGGTGATTTTATTCATCATGTTAAATTTATAGATTAGTTTAAGGGCATTTATATCTTATGATCCAAGTTCATGGCATGCCTTTATATTTGTTCAAGTTTATTTTTTATCCTTTAGTAATATTTTAGTTTTCTTCAATAAGTATTTCACATTCTTGTTTTGTTGGTAACTAGGTTTTTTCTCTTTTTCCTTTTTTGTTTCTAATGTAAATGGGAGTTCCCCATCTGCATACCTGTTAACTGCTTGTTGTTTGTATACATGAAGATTTTTGATTCTGTACATTTATTTTGTACCCAGACATTGTATGAAATTCTCTTATTGTTTGTAATATAATTTATTTGGGTGCTCTAGATGTGTAATCATATTGTCTGAATAAAATGATAACTTTACCTTCTTTCCTATTTTATATCTGTTAATTTCCTTTTGAATACTTGCTTGGGCTAATACCTCAAGAACAATATTAAATGATAGTGACAATAGTGAGTGTCATCATCTTATTTGCAACCTTAATGAGATTGTTTCTAGTATTCCTTCATTAAGCATGATGCTGACTTTTGAGTTGAGATAGATATGTTGTATTATGATAAGGAAGGACCTGTCTTTTCTCATTTTCTTAAAGAGTTTTATTAAGAATATATGTTGAATTTTATCAAATGCCTTTTCAGCATTTATGAAGAAAATCATTAGGATTTTTTCCTCCTTAAATCTATTAATATAGGTGAATAAACTTTCTGAAACTTAATCATGCTTTTATGCTGGAAATACACTCTTACAATGTCATTTTTCTAGGTATGATTGACATATAACATTAGATTTATTTCAGGTGTACAATATGATTTGATTTTTGTATATATTGCAAAATGATCACCACAGTAAGTCTCATTAACATCTGGCACCATACATTAGTTACAAAAAAATTTTTTTTTTTTCTTGTAGTAAGGACTTTTAAGATTTATTCTCTTAGCAACTTTTAAATATGCAATACGGTACTATTAACTATAGTCACCTTGTTGTACATTATATCCCCATGACTTAACTATTTTATAAGCAGAAGTTTGTACCTTTGACTCTCTTCACCCATTTCTCTCACTCCCCAGCCCCAGCTCTGGCAACCACTAGTCTGTCACTGTATCTGTGAACTTGGTTTTGTTGCTATTGTTGTTGCTTTAAATTCCACATGTAAGTGATATCATATGGTATTTGGCTTTCTCTGACTTATTTCACTTAGCATAATACCTTCTAGGTCCATCCATGTTGTCACAAATGTCAAGATTTCATTTTTCTTATGGCTGAAGAGTATTCCATTGTGTGTGTGAGTGTGTGTGTGTGTGTGTGTGTGTGTGTGTGTGTGTACCATATCTTCTTTATCCATTAATCCATTGGTGGACACTTGGGTTGTTTCCATGTCTTGGTTATTGAAAATAATGCTACAGTGAACATGAGGGTGCAGATACCTTTTTGAACTAGTGTTTTTGTTTGCGTCAAATAAATACCCAGAAGTAGAATTGCTGGATCATATGGTAGTTCTTTTTTAATTTTTTGAGGAACCTCCATACTGCCTGCCATACTGGTTGCACCAGTTTACATTCCCACCAACAGTGCACAAGGGTTCCTTTTTCTCCGTATCCTCATCAACATTTGTTATTTCTTTCCTTTTTGATAACTGCCATTCTAACAAGTATAAGGTGATATCTCATTATGGTTTGGAGTTGCATTTCCCTGATGATTAGTGATATTAAGCATCTTTTCATGTACTTGTTGTCTCATCCTCTTCTCATAAGGATGCCAGTCTTATTTGATTAGTGTCCCACTCTTATGACCTCATCTAACCTAAATTAGCTTCTTAAAGGTCCTATCTCCAAAGTCACGTTGAGGGCTAGAGCTTCAACCTATGAATTTTGGGAGCACATAATTCAGTCCATTAAGCTAGTGAACTTGAATTTAGAAAGTAGGGGGTCAGGTATTGACTTTACCTGAACCTAACTGACTGCTTTTGGGCAGCAAGTCCATTATCCTCTAGGAGCCTCAACTTCATCTGTAATATGCGGCCAATTTTATGGGGCTTTTGAGAGGCTGAAATGAGATCATGGCTGGAGGACATTTTATGGACTATAAGTTCCTACACAATAATAATGACAATTATTTCTTCTACTACTATATCATCTTGCAGTTTACAATGTGATTTTTTAAAAATTAATTTATTTATTTGGCTGCATCATGTCTTGTTGTGGCACGCGGGATCTTTTTGTTGCAGTGCACCAGCTCTTTGTTGCAGCGCGCGGGCTTCTCTAGTTGTGGTGCGTGGGCTCCAGAGTGCGCGGGGTCAGTAGTTGCAGTACGCAGGCTCTCTAGTTGTGGTGCACAGGTTCTAGAGAGAGCGGGCTTAGTTGCTCCACGGTGTGTAGGATCTTAGTTCCCTGACCAGGGATCAAACCCTTGTCCCCTGCATTAGAAGGCAGATTCTTAACCACTGGAAGTCCCTACAATGTGATTTAAAATGCATTGTATCATTCAACATACATGCAAGGAATTATTATTGTTATTATTACTACATGACTACCTAAAAGGGAAATTTGTTTATAATTCATACCCACTCTTGCAGAAAAGATTCAAGGCAGCTCATGATGAAAACACTCATGTTTAAGAGGGAATTACCAGGACTTCCTTGGTGGCACATTGGTTAAGAAACTGCCTGCCAATGCAGGGGACACGGGTTCGAACCCTGGTCCAGGAAGATCCCACATGCCTCGCGACAGCTAAGCCCATGTGCCACAACTACTGAGCCTGCGCTCTAGAGCCCGCGAGCTACAACTACCGAAAGCCTGTGCGCCTAAAGCCCGTGCTCCACACCAAGAGAAGCCACCGCAGTGAGAAGCCCGCGCACCACAACGAAGAGTAGCCCCCACTCGCCACAACTAGGGAAAGCCCGTGCAGCAATGAAGACCCAACTCAGCCAAAAACAAATTAATTAATTAATTTTTTAAAAAGAGGGCGTTACCTGTTACTTCTCACAGAGGCTGCAGAAAAGGCCCAGGAAGCTGTTGATGAAATGAATGACCACCAGGAGAATCTGGAGGAGGCTGATGCACAGAAGGGCAGAGAAGAAGCACACGTGCCAAATGACAGCTTTAGAAGGCTCCAGGCAGACAGAATTCCAGAGTGAATGGTCATACAAATAATTCCTATCCCCAAAAATAAGGAGATCAGGGGTTGGAATAAGGAAGAAAATCCCAGCAACCTTGATAGAAACCTGGGTTCTCCCTCAGCTCAGGTCGTAGGACTAGACTTTTGAGGGTGACTATTGTTGCATTTGCAATTTTCTGAGCATCAGAGAAGCAAGATGCTAGAATGCTGACTAAAAGGAGTTTGTAGTCCCTTTCTGTGTCTTTCTTTCTCTGAAGAGACTGCAAATCCAAGTTTCCATCCATTTACCTGTTTTGCAGGTCTTTGAATGGGTAACCATGTTTCCAAGCCTGTGTCTGATTGAAGGACGAAACATCGAACATGCAAAAAGGACCATCTTTCAGGGCTACTCCAGAAGTGATAAAGCAAATCAAGGCCCCAAGAAAAGCCAGGCCACTTGACAACAGAGCAGTAAGCATCTGCAGAAGGAGAGAAGAAACAGTGAGCCTGAGAGGGGGTCGTGACTTGTGGGCTGATCTGGACAAATCTAACTTCTCTGGTGCTCAGGCCTTCCCCAGTCATGGGGATGATCCTACCCACAGCACCTCCTTTAAAACATAGCCAAGGTAGGGCTGGCTGATGAGGTCACTGGGTAGAGCTGGGAGGGGGTGGGAAAGAAGGAATGGAGAAGGGGGAAACACTGGCACCTGGTCCCAGCAGCAGGTTCAGCCGGATTCAGCAGGCTCTTCAGAGCTTCTCAGCAGAGTGGCATCAAAAACTTTGTCACTCACCCTGCAGGCATTCAGTCTCTGGCTTAAAGGGTCAGATTGGTTATCGCAAGCCCCCCTCTGACCCTTTTAAAAGAAAGCTGTATTTTTTCAAAAGTTCCAAGCTGCCATCCCTGATTCCTCTCTTTCTCAGATCAAGCATGAAAGGAAGGAAGGGAGGAAGAGGGGAAAGAAGGAAGAAAAGGAGGGAGGGAGGGAGGCAGAGACAGAGAGAAATTACAGTCAACTCTGAAATAACTCGAGTTCTGTCATTGTACTTTTCTGGTCTGTGCACCACTCATTTCCTTCCCAAAAGATAGCAATGTGTTTATTTCCTTGGCAGGATTCTAACTTCCAGATTGGTTTCTTTCTCAGGATACCAGATTTTTTTTTTCTCCTTCTCAAAAAACACATATTTTAAAATTTTAAATAAAACATATATATATATATATATATGTGTGTGTGTGTGTGTGTGTGTGTGTGTGTGTGTGTGTGTGCGTATATATATATATAGTTTTTATACAGAATCAGAGTCGTTTTCCCACTGATGTCAAACTGGTTTAGAACTCGAGAGGGGCCACAGAAAGCTGTGTAGTAAGTTTTGACTCTAAGTTAAAAGATTCAAGATGAATCAGTCTGACATAAGCCTAGGACAGAGGTTCTAAAAATGTGGTCCCTGTCCCAGCAACAGCACATCACCTGGAAACTTGTTAGAAATGCAAATTTCCCCCCCTCCCCATCTTGCTCCACCCCAGACCTACAGAGTCAGAAACTCTGGGCGTGGGGCCCAGCAATCTGTGTTTTAACAAACGCTGCAGGGATTCTGATGCACACATTCAAGTCGAGAACCACTTGCCTAGGGGAAAACCAGACATGACTGAGAACAGATAGTGAATGAAATGTATGGGTGTTTATACTTAATTCTTTAACATATAATTCTGAATCAGCAGGGTTCCCAACATGTGGGCTGTAGATATCAAAGCAGGATGCAGAGTTACTGTAAAAAGGCCACAAATTCATGTGTCTGAGACTGAATGAGCAATATATCTTATACATTTATGTACTGAGATTTTTCAAATATATATAGATGTTGCTGCAATTAATACAGTGCAAATTTATTCTGGGCCTCAGCTTCATTATCTGTAAAATGGAGAGGTTAGACTAGAATCTAGTCATCAGATGATCTCTGGAGAATCTTTCAGCTCCAAGAAAAATTAAGAAAAATAGCCAGGAAATTTTCTATCAATGACACATGACTACAATGTACATAACTCATGTCCATATTGTTCAATAGGCTAAAACTAATAAGAACAGTTCATGTATAGCTGAAACGCTTTGCTATATAGCAGAAATTAACAGGACATTGTAAACTATACATCAATAAAATAAAAAAGAACAGTTCCTCACATGTGTGTAGACATTTATGGTTCATTAAGCACTTCCTCCCTGGACTTGATCCTGTTAACTTTCGTTTTACAGAAGGATCCGAGATTCAGAAAACTTGCCCAAAAGCTTAGGGTTTTTAGACCCTTAGAGAGGTATCGTCAGGACCTGACTTCAAACGCCAAGACTGAAATTGTCTCTTTATCACTCTGCCTCTAAAGTAATAGAATGTGGGGACATTCTAGGTATTAGAAGAGTGGAATCGGGTGCTTACACTTTGGCAGGGCCCACTCTTACTGAAGCAGCCATATCTCCAGCCCGTCAAGGAGATGAGGGTAGCTGCAGTGAGAACCTGGGGGAAGAGGGAAGAGTGTTAAAAAGAGATTGGGTAATTTACATCTCTAGCTGCCACCTGTGGCTGCTGAAATAGAGTGGTTAGACATCTCACATGGACTTAATTACCCTACCTTTCCCAGAGGGCTTGGCTTTGACTGTCAGGACCCAGTTTGGGATGACTAGCCTAATGTGACTCTATGAATGGCAGCGTTCACACCAAGCCTGCCTAGTCCAAAATTCAGCAACATTTGACCAGTCTTCCTAGAGTCTTCTATCCCTTGGAGCTGCTATAGACCCCACAGTCAGCTTGTTAGTTCAAGCTTTTTTTCAAGGAATCAAAACACTACCCCCACCCCCACTTCACTGCTCCACCTGTAAGGGGCACTTTGGGAGTTCACACCCAGGGAACCCCAGACACTCACCATGAGGCCTCCTCCCCAGAGCCCAGAGCCCAGCATGGCATGCCTGCCAATGAGGCCCCTCAACAGGTAGGTCACATCCCAGTTAGGAAGGAGGAGCACTGTGTTGGCTGCAGCAGCAAACAGGGCTGTAGTCCCGAGGCTCAGCCCCAGTACTTGGGAGCAGGTCCGTGAGCATGCCATCACACAGAGAGGACACTGTCCTGGAACCAATGGAAAGAGGGTCAGGGTAGCTGTGTTACTGGGAGCTGGTGGCTAGGGGAAACCCCAGGAGCATAGGGTGGGGAGGGGGAAATAGACCAGAGGCACTGTCACCTCCTAGGGTCAGATCAAGAAGAGCCAAGGAACTTGCTTAAAAACTCTGCGTCTTATAAATATTTCCCAATGGATAGAATTTAATTGCTCCATTTTCTGCCAGCTCCCACTCACACACACACACACACACACACACACACACACACACACACACACTCCTCATCCCATCATAATTTGCTTGTACCTCTATTAAAGCCAGTGATTATTTCTACTTGATACAGAAAAACAAAAAAAAAAATTTTTTTTGAAGATGTTGGGGGTAGGAGTTCATTATTAATTAATTTATTTTTGCTGTGTTGGGTCTTCGTTTCTGTGCAAGGGCTTTCTCTAGTTGTGGCAAGCGGGGGCCGCGGTGCGCGGGCCTCTCACTATCGCGGCCTCTCTTGTTGCGGAGCACAGGCTCCAGACGTGCAGGCTCAGTAGCTGTGGCTCACAGGCCTAGTTGCTCCGCGGCATGTGGGATCCTCCCAGACCAAGGCTCGAACCCATGACCCCTGCATTAGCAGGCAGATTCTCAACCACTGCGCCACCAGGGAAGCCCAAAAAACAAAATTTTAAAGGTGTCATCCTCTTGCTTTAAAAGACGTCATTTTAAAGCTGTCCGCTGTTACCACTTCCATTCAACATTGTACAGGAGGTCCTTTCCAGTGCAATAAGAAAATAAAAAGCGGCAAAAGCCACAGGTATGAAAGAAAGAAGTAAGAATATCATTATTCACAGTAACATGATTATCTGTGTAGAAAATTGTAAGGAATCTATCAAAAAGTTAATAAGTGAGTTTAGCAAGGTTACCGAATAAAAAATTAAATGTACAAAAATTCTATTGTATTTCTATATACAAGCAATGATAAATTATAAAAGTTAAAAAACAACATCATTTACAATAACATACAAATAGAAAATACTTATGGATAAATTTTACAAAATCTGTGTAAGACCTGTACACTAAAAATTATAAAACATTACTGAGAAAAATTAAAGAAGACCCAAATAAATGGAGAGATATACCATGTTCATGAATCAAAAGGCTTAGTATCAGTGCAATCTCAGTCAAAATCCTAGCAGGGTTCTGTCATAGAAACTGACAAGCTGAATCTAAATTTACATGGAAATGCAAAAGACCTAGATTTTTCAAAACAATGTGGAAAAGAAGACCAAAGTTGGAGGGCTTACATCATGTGATGTTAAGACATTATAAAGCTACAGTAATCAAGACAGCAAAGTAATGGTGTATACAGACATGCAGACCACTGGAACAGACTAGAGAATTCAGAAATAGAGCTATACAAATATGATCAAATGATTTTTGAAAAAGATGGTATTTTAGTAGGAAAAGGAGAGTCTCTTCAACAAATGATGCTGGAACAATCCATATGCAAAACAAAAATATATACTTTTCCTATTACTGCAAACCCTATTCAATAATTAACTCGAAATGGACCATGGATCTAAACCTAATAAAAATTTTACAAGAAAACAACAGAGAAAATCATCGGGATTTTCGGTTAGATAAAGATTTATTATATAGAACACAAAAAGTACAACCTATAAAAAGTGATAAATTAAACTACTTCAAAATTAAAATTTTGCTCTTCAAAAGACACCATTAAGGAAATGAAGAGACAAAACACAGGCTGGGAGTAAATATTCACAATACATATTTTGTAAATATGTATGTGAATGTGACCTCATATACCTCTGACAAAGGATTTGTATCTAGAATACATAAAGAATTCTTAAGACTCTACCATAAGTAGACAAACAACTGAGGGACTTCACTGGTGGTGCAGTGGTTAAGACTCCACGCTCTCAGTGCGGGGGGCCCAGGTTCAATCCCTGGTCAGGGAACTAGATCTCACATGCATGCTGCAACTAAGGAGCCCGCGAGCTGTGACTAAGGAGCACGCCTGCCGCAACTAAGACCCAGCGCAACCAAATAAATAAAATAATGTAAACGAAAAAGGAAGGCAAACAATGGTTTTTAAAAATGGGAAAACGATGTGAACAGACACTTCATTTCATCTCACAAAAGAAAAGCTATATGGATGACAACTAAGAACATGAAAAGACACTCAACATCATTAACATAGGGGAGTGCAAATTAAAACCAAAATAAGATCCTACTACATACCCACTGGAATTGTTACAGTTAAAAAGTTGGACTAGGGGCTTCCCTGGTGGCGCAGTGGTTGAGAGTCCGCCTGCTGATGCAGGGGACACGGGTTCGTGCCCCGGTCTAGGAAGATCCCACATGCCGCGGAGTGGCTGGGCCCGTGAGCCATGGCCACTGGGCCTGCGCGTCCGGAGCTTGTGCTCCGCAACGGGAGAGGCCACAACAGTGAGACGCCCGCGTACCGCAAAAAAAAAAAAAAAAAAAGTTGGACTATACCAAGTGTTGGTGAGGATGTGGAACAACTAGAACTCTCATAGATATGTGGTGAGAATGCAAATGGTACAGCCACTTTGGAAATAAGCTTGGCAGTTTCTTAAACCATCACTTACCAATGATCAAGTAATTCCACTTCTATATATTTATCCAAGAGACATGAAAACACATGCCCACACAAAGACTAGTACTTGAATGTCCATAGGAGCTTTATTCATAATAACTAAAAATTAGAAACATGGAAACAACCTGTGTCTACCAACAGATGAATGAATGAAAAATATATATATATATATATATATGTGCAATGGAATATTATTCAGTCATTAAAAGAATGAAGTTCTGTTACATGCTGCAACATGAATGAAGCACGAAAACATTATGCTAAATGAAATAAGCCAGACACTAAAGGACAAGTATGTATGATTCTACTTATATGAAATATCCAGAATAGGCAAATTCATAGAGACGGAAAGTAGATTAGAGGTTACTAGGGACTGAGGGGAAGGGGGAATGGGGAGTTATTGTTTAATGTTTACAGAGTTTCTGTTGGGGGGTAATGAAAAAGTTTTGGAAACAGGTAATGGTAATATATAGTTACACAACATTGTGAATGTAATTAATGCCACTGAGTTGTACACTTTAATATGGTTAAAATAACAAGCTTTAAGTTATATATATTTTACCACAATAAAAAATCAATTAAAAATGAGAAATACAGGGCTTCCCTGGTGGCGCAGTGGTTGAGAGTCCGCCTGCCAATGCAGGGGACGCGGGTTCGTGCCTCGGTCCGGGAAGATCCCACATGCCGCGGAGCGGCTGCGCCTGTGAGCCATGGCCGCTGAGCCTGCGCGTCCGGAGCCTGTGCTCCGCGACGGGAGAGGCCACAGCGGTGAGAGGCCCGCGTACCGCAAAAAAAAAAAAAAAAAAAAAAAAGAGAAATACAAAAAAGTGAGAAATAACTCAAATGCTCATCAATAGGTGAATAGATAAACTGTGGTATATCCATACAATTAGTACTACTACTAGGCAATAAAAAACAATAAACTACTGATACATGAAACAACATGGATGAATCTCAAAATCATGCTAAATGAAAGAAGCCAGAAACAAAAGACTACTCACTGTATGATTCTGTTTATATGAAATTATAAACACTAGAAAAGGCAGAACTAGTGACAGGAAGCAGATCAGTTGTTTCCAGGGGCTGAGAATAGAAGAGGGGATTAATATCGTACATAAGGAAACTTTTTGAGGTGATAAAAATGTTCTATATCTAGATTCTTATGAATATACAACTATATATATAGACAAAACTCATCAAACTACTCTTAAAATTGGTGAATTTTATTATATTTTAATTATATATCAATAAAATTGATTACAAATTAAAATGTCATGTCTAGATAGGTTGTAAAATGCCTCCTCCACACCTTTACTTATAGCCGTTTCTCCCTTTTAAATTTTCACTGATCTGTGAACTTTTTATTTTTTTTAATATGAATTAGAATAGGACTAGTAATATTTGGGTACACTCATGTCAATGTGGACCTGAAAAAAGTCAGTACCATGACATCCCCAAGAAGTGGTTTGTTGCCACTTTGCAATTCAGTTACATGTCTGGCTCAGCTTAAGGCTCTTGACGCTCCCCTCCTAACACACAGCTTTGCCCATAACCAGAAAATACGTATAGATCAAAGCCTCCACCCCAATCTCTCTTTTACATATATACATACACCTACATATATAATGAAATATTTCAGAGTTAAAGAGTGAAGCATAATGTATATAATATATTTGCTCTTGCTAGTTGTGTGGAATAATTGAACAACACCTATGTAAACACAACTGGTTTACAAAATAGATTCTTACCACTAATACTATTGAAGCCCCAGGTGTGCCCTCTCTATCATCTGCCTGTACTCCTTCCTGGGAACGACTACCCTAAATTTCGATTTTATCATACATTTTTAAAAACGGTTTTACAATTTATGAACTTAATTTAAAAAAAAACAAACTTGATTAGCCTAGGTTTTTTTGGTTTGTCCAGACTTCAGCTTATATAGAGACTCGTGTTAGACACAGCACTGAGCAGGCCATTTGGTTGGGGCAGGAAAGGGGGTGCTCTTGTCCTGCCCGCCCATACCCCCATTCCCCAGCCTCCTCAGCCCTTGGTGACATTTGCTTCCCTAATCTCAGAGCCCAAACTCATCTCAGCTGCTCCTCCCAGCAGGAAACTTTCTGATGCAATTGCTAATATTTTAGTGGGATGAGTTGCCTTCACCGTGTGCCCTCTCCACAGGGTATTTGCTCTCTAAGCCATGTTTCTCAAACGGTGAATAAAATAACTCATCCCTGATGAAAGGAAGTTCGGATCTTTGTGGAGGGGGGCACACGCTGGAGGAGTTGGGGGTAGGATACGGAGGAACAGTGGCCCTTACTCCAAGGATACAAGGGACCTGGAGGGAAGAGGGGGCCCCCTCCCCCAGGGGCCCACCACAGAGACCTCTTTTCCTGAAGTGTCCTCCAAGCTGGTATGGTACTGGCTGCTTTCTCCACGGGTCCTCAGGGTGAGGAGCCTGCTCCGCTGTCAGCGGGCAGGGCATCTGTATGATCACAACCCACCCAAACAGTTTGTGATGCAGCCTCCCTCCCCAGACCTTCCTGCCATTGAGAGCCGCGCTCTCAGTGTGTGTCCAGGGTGTTGGCAAGTAACGACTTTAACCCACATGCCTCTCAGATGACTGACATCTTGTCAGGGGCCCAAGAAAGGACTCGTGTGTGGTCGGACATTGAGGCACACTCTAGACCACCGGCTGGAAGAACCTTTTGTTCAGGAATGCCTTCAGCCTCCTTTGAATCATTCCACCT